TTTGCCCCTGTAGGCTTTATTAATCAGTTCATGCAGTTCATGAAAGAGTGATTCAGGCCTGTGTGCGTTACAGGCTGGCTTAGTTTCCGCCGCAGTCAAACAACATGGACAACAGTTTTTAAAGATCGATCACAAGAGACCAACCGCAAGTGCACCTCAAACTCCATAACAGAATCCAAACAAGAGTAAGAAAGTACAACTTTTGTCAAGAGCAATGAATGGGACAAATTGGAGCCTGATTGGTGATGGAATGAAATAAGTAAATATTAGAGAAGCTTTCAACAAAGAGGGAGCTGAGATCTGCCCTGGGAATGACCTAGTAAATAACTTTAATCTTTATCATATTATTACCTCAGATCATATTATACCTCTAAACAAATATACTGTGCAGTAGCAGCAGGCATCTTTCTCTTCTCCTATACTTGAGCACAATACCGGTGCCATTTCAACATGTCACTATGATCCCTTAAGTAGCAAACATCACTAACCAAGCAGAGAACAAACAGGTGTCTGGTAACACAAAGCCAGGAAGGTAAGACATTAGTAATGGCCTAAGAACAGAAGCTGTTTCTGCTGATTAGTGTGAAAAAAGTGACAAGGCCATGTTTCAATAATTTAAAGGTCATTGTTGTACAGTGATAACGATCACTTCCAAGTGGAAATCATGTCATGCTGTCAGACTTAACTGTGGTTTCAATACTGGATGTCTCAGAAATTCATTCGGCTAAAGATGGTCAAACATTTCATCACACAAACACACCATACTAATATTTTAACGGTGCAGGGCCGATAATTTCGATTATTTTTACAACAGGACCTAGGCAGTGGATTATGAGCTCGTTTATATACCAAAATATTCTTTATTTAAATACGAAACCATCTGTCTGACTGCAGAAGTTAGGTGAAAACAGAGAAATCAGCAGGACAATAAACCCAATGCAGCAGCAATGCCGACAGAACAGCTGAAAAACAGACGGAGTTAAAGTCTAGACCTTAACATGATTAAAAACGCTGCAGGGTTTAGACCTACAGCTGTGCAGAAGCAAACGGCTGCAGAACTAAATGAAGTGAAGTAATGCTGGAGAGAGGAATTGGAAATGAGGTGGTTCCAAAACTCTCAGTAACAGAGGTAACAGACACGGAAACGTTCCTCTACCATTCAAGCTATAGAACGGCGTTTATTATATATAGATGTAAGAGTTGATGGCTCTTAGACAATGGCATAAAAACACAACAATAGGCCTGTAAGCAACATTATGTGGTGGGCCCCATATGAATTACAACACCCTATTCTCCCCCTTCATTATTTCATCATTCCTCACCTTCACTAGACATGGATATACTTTAGTATATTCTGCTGTAAAATGAGTCTTATCGGGCTACCTTGAGTTTCACATCACCTCCTCACCCATCTATTCGTCAACTGGCCGCAATCTTTACTCACTGTATGAGCAACGCACACCTCTTCCGCTTCGGTTCTTTGGAAGAGCGTGTTTATTTTGGGAGGTTTTTTCTTCCAGCAGCTCTTATTTCCCTTTTTTTTTACTGGAATCCGCTTATGTACCTCTTTTTGATGGTATCCATCGTCGCTAACACATTGTATGTAACGGTTATGGTTTTAATCGACGCTCTGGATTACCAATAATTTCAAGTCGTAGTGTAAAGAATAAAATACTCAAATACATTGTTCTTTTAAGATCTTTATTGCGGTTTGAAACTTATTATATAAGTGTATTTTTTACCAACCGTTTAATAAACTATACACAGGTATTAACATATTAATAAAAGTGCCACTTTCTGCTTTGCTATTGGTGTCGTGTTTACACGGCTCACCGTCATGTTGATATCTGCAATGTGTTGCGTTTTAAATAAGGTCCTGTCAGTTATCTTACTATGAGGTGGGTTTTAAGAGGAATTCTTCGCACCATTATGTCTG